AGAAGAAGAAGAAGAAGAAGAAGAAGAAGAAGAAGAAAAAGAAGAAGAAGAGGAAGAAGAAGAAGAAGAGGAAGAAGAAGAAAAAGAAGGGGGCTGGGCAGAGAGGCAAAATCAGTTCTTCTGAGTGGTCAGCATTTAATCGTTAAACTTTCTTTTACGTTTGTGTTTTTTGGAGGAATCCCTTTCGCTTCGTCTGGACCCGTCTATTTTAGCTTTATTGATTAGCTCTTCTCGTTTGGAGGAGAATGTGAAGACGTTTGTATTCAATATAAAGGGAATCAGGAGACTGTACAATACGTTGACAGCGCTTAGACGGGGTTGGAGTGGAGACTTGGAACCAGAAAGACACTTTAGCAGCTGCTTGTAACACTGTTACAAAGTTTGCCGTCATCATTTTCATGTCAGCTCTCTTGGGTATCTGTACTTTTAGGTATGTGTACTTTTAGTTGACGCTCGCTGTTCATTCAGTTCTTATCGTGCTAGGTTCTGAAGCGGATGATTCAGGCTTGAATCCCCATAGGAGCGTTCTGTGTGGAGTTTGTGATAACGACTGTCCTCCCCCCTGCTCCACGCCCCCAAAAAAGCAAACACAAAACGCCAACGCTGAACGTTTCCGAGTCAATGAAGACATAAAAGTCTACCTTCCTTTTCTCTCTACCACACAAAACTCTCTTTTTCAAAGAGTGAAGATCTTGCTGGTAGCCGGAGTGCTTTGTCTGTCGGTAGTCAGGGCTGCGGCCAATATTGCTCATCTCCACCAGCCCTCTTGATACCCCGCCCTCCCCCTCCTTCCGCCACTCCACGAGCCCCTTATCCTCCCCTGAATAAAGTCGAAATAAAGAGAAGTTGGTGGTTTCGCGGAAATTGCTTGCGAAGGGTCTGTGTAATCATATGATCATCGAATATGAAGTAGACCTCATCCTTAATAAAGTCCCCAAGGCCATATCCCCTATGGTTTCGAGATAGATTAGTCGGCAAACTCCAGCCGGGCACAGAACATCCCCTAATCCAGTTTCCAGGCGCCACTTTTTTGTGAGGCAAAACTTCAAGAACATGAGGGAAGGAAAGAACAACAAAAAAAAGATATACTGGTATATATGTCGTGCGAGCGGACCTGTTCGTTGACGGTAAAAAAGGGTACCGCCATTTTATTTATTACCACAATGAGAGATTCTGGTAGGTTAAGATGATGCGGGTGGTTGGCGAGTATTCTGGTGTAGTTCGGTCCTTCTTTCCTATCAAACATCTATCTTCCTGATATCTGCTCCTTGTATCTTATGTATGTTACTCTCTTGTAACACCTCTAGTCTTGGGCACTTATATTACCTTATTGTGTTGCAAGTGCCGTACATCATCTCTTTTTAAAGCTAAATAAGGTCTCTTCACTTTGATGAGTGCATTTGGTAGCTTCAAATTATTATATTCCTCGACTTTACTTTGTTAAACGGGTGGATTTTATATTAAATGAAATTGATATTTTTTTCCAGGTATTTTGCTATTAGTTTAGTTTTAGGAAAAGTTTTAATCTGGTCATATGAGTGCCGAAGGTTAAAAGTGTTGCAGGAGAGCAACAAACACAACGGAGAAGGAGGAGAGATTATGACGATTGCGTATGTGTGTGTATGTGTGTGTGTGTGTGTGTGTGTGTGTGTGTGTGTGTGCGCGTGAGTGAAAGTGCGTGCATATGGGGTGTGTGTGTGTGTGCTTTTTTTTGGTTTTGTTTTTTTGTAAGTGTTTTTCGGCGCTCTCAACCTCATAAGGTCATATGAGCGCGGGACACACCTAATATTTTCAGTTGGTAGGAAATTTGGTAGGAAGTTTTAAATTTTTGCTCGGGTGGCGGCCGAAGTTTTGAGAATTGCTCGTGTTTGATGGGAAAGAAGGAGGAAACCAGACCAGACCAGAGCATCTGCCATTTTGCACATTTTGCAATTTAGTTTGGTAAAATGTTTTTCTTGTACGAATTTGTGCCAGCTGTTATTTGTGGTAAATAATGTCCGTATTTTCTCTAGTTTTTAAAAAAATCCATTCCCAAAAGGGGGAACATTTCTCGTTCATGCACAGTAGAATTGTAAATGGGCTGATTCATCGATGTCATGCTCATAACTGTGCCTGATC